CGCAGCCATAATCCCCGAACTCGCCGACCAGCTTCCGCTCTGGGGCCATCCAGCCACCCTCCATGCTGTTCCTCGTGTTCCAGCACACTGGAAGCACGGGTTGAATTTAAGATATATAAACGAAAGCACCATCTGCGACGTACAAAAGCACAGGGACGAGCTTTGAAAAGGAAAAGCGCAACGGACGGTCACGTATTACCTCGCTAACGTCCAAACGACACGGAGTTAGGCTCGTGTATGGGACGCAATTTGAGGCTGGTTATTTCATGCAAACTCCGTGCCAACCAGCCACGCCAGGTACTTTAAAACGATTGGTAAATACGGACAGCAACGAGGTAGATATACGGGATCGAGATAGGATGAATGCATTCGTGAAATGTTTGCCCAGCTCCGAATATGTTATCTCTCGATGCATTTTGCGGGATCAAGCTTTATCGCAACTATTTCGTTTGTTTCTTTGGACCTTGAGGATTTACGAGAAATTCTATACACAAATACTGGAATAGTATTGTAATTTGTATCGAATTAGTTTGCGTTGTTTATGTGTGCTGGATTATCATATATGTCTGCTCTCAGGTGATAGAATCACTATTTGGAAACTTTGGGAACTTTGTGATGCTGGGAATGAAGCTTTGCAATGTTTAATTCAATTGCATTTTGTTTTTGAGAGAACAATTTCAAGAACATGACATGTGAAGTCATAGTGTCCACATATGAGTTGGACATTGAATATATGAAGAGTTAAATGTCCACATATGACAGTATTCTTGATGAGGTCAGGTCAGATGTTCACATGTGACAATATTCTTGATGGGATCATGTTAGATGTCCACATATGACAATGTTCTTAATGACCTTAGGTTAGATGTCCACATGTGATGGTATACTTGATGAGGCCAGGTTAGATGTCCACATGTGACAATGTTCTTAATGACCTTAGGTTAGATGTCCACATGTGATGGTATACTTGATGAGGTCAGGTTAGATATCCACATGTGACGATATCCTTAATGAGGTCGTGTTAGATGTCCACATGTGACAATATTCTTGACGGGGTCATGTTAGATGTACACATATGACAATGTTCTTAATGACGTTAGGTTAGATATCTACATGTGATGGTATACTTGATGAGGTCGTGTTAGATGTCCACATGTGACAATATTCTTGATGGGGTCATGTTAGATGTCCAGATATGACAATGTTCTTAATGACGTTAGGTTAGATATCCACATGTGAGGGTATACTTGATGAGGTCAGGTTAGATGTTCACATGTGACAATATTCTTGATGGGGTCATGTTAGATGACCACATATGGCAATGTTCTTAATGACCTTAGGTTAGATGTCCACACGTGATGGTATACTTGATGAGGCCAGGTTAGATGTCCACATGTGACAATGCTCTTAATGACGTTAGGTTAGATGTCCACATGTGATGGTATACTTGATGAGGTCAGGTTAGATGTCCACATGTGACGATATCCTTGATGAGGTCAGGTCAGATGTCCACATGTGACAATATTCTTGATGAGCTTAGGTTAGACGTCCACATGTAACAGTATTCTTGATGAGGTTCGATTAGATGTCCACATATGACAGTATTCTCGATGAGGTCAACTTAGATGTCCACATATCAACATATGCCAACAAATTCTTAAATAAGTCTTTAAACATCGCCCACTTTATTTTCATCATCTTGAAAATTTATGTCAATCATCCAAAATGAAATGTTCCCCAAAAGAAGTACATCACGTTAATCATTCTAGCCTTTATTCAAGTCGTTCTCATTCTTATCAAATTCTTATCAAGTCTACAGCCGAAACGATTCCCACGCTATAACATACGTCAAATAAATAATATCAGGTCCCCATAAATCACCAAAAGCTTCATTTACAATAGCCCCACAAAGCAGCGTAAACGTGCATTAGGTTAAATCGTAAGAAAGGGCCGGTGCTCATCGAGAAATCCAATTGAGGTAACCTCAAGCATTTACATTCTCGTCGGTACATCGCGGTACAACACACCGTTAACGTCTGGCCAAACATTTTAGGAATTCTCTATATGAAACAAGCTCTCATGGGGCAGGAGATAAGGGATGGGCGCGTGCGTGGAGGTCTGTACACAACGGAGCTACTCACTGCTGACTGCGTTTCCTTGGGTGGAGTACTTCGGGTCATAGTGGATGTCGGTGATGTGCCAGAAATATCCTGCAAGCAGAGAAACGAGCTGGTGTCTTCCACCTTTCGACCTTTATTTGCATCCCTGTCCCGCTCGCATTTGCATTTGTCGCGCCGTTTCTTCGCCTTAGGTTCTCCACCATTTTGTACGCCGGTGTCGCGGAACGAGGACGCGATCGCGAAATACGGTGGCGTTTCTAGGAATTTTTAACGCGAAATTTCGGATGGGAAGTTGGGGGTATGGAGGTTGAAGGATAGGGTATTTGGAAATTTGGGAATTTAGGGAGTGGAGGGAGGAAGGTTTGGTGATTTTTGGTGATTTTTGAAGATGGAAAATTTGGATCATTGATGGTTGGTGAATTTTTGAGTTGGGTGTTTTGGGAATTGGAGATTTGAGGATTTGGGAATTTTGAGATTTGGAGATTGGATTTCAGAATGTGGGGAATTGGAGATTTGGGGAATTTGGAGATTTGGGGAATTTGGAGATTTGGGGAATTTGGAGATTTGGAAAGTTTGGAGATTTGAGGAATTTGGAGATTTTGAAATTTGGTAATTTATCAAATTGGGAAATTAGAGATTCGGAGATCTAGGGAATTGGGAATCGAGGGAATTGGGAATCGAGGGAATTGGGAATCTAGGGAATTGGGAATCTAGGGAATTGGGAATCTAGGGAATTGGGAATCGAGGGAATTGGGGATCGAGGGAATTGGGGATCTAGGGAATTGGGGACCTATGGAATTGGGGAACTAGGGAATTGGGGATGTTGGGAATTGGGGATCTAGGGAATTGGGAATCTAGAGAATTAGGGATCTAGGGAATTGGGGACCTAGGGAATTGGGAATTGGAGAATTAGGAATCTAGAGAATTGGGGATCTAAGGAATTGAAATCTAGGGATTTGGAGATCTGGCGATGTGGTGATCTAGAGGTTTTTGCATATAGGGATTTTGTGTTTCAGTAATTTGGTGATCTAGGAATTTGGAAATCTAAGAATTTTTGAATTTAGAAATTTGGAAGTTTGGAAATTTAGAAATTTAAACAGTTGAAAATTTTGAAATCAAAGAAAAAAACTTTGAATTTCTGAAGTACCGTTGCCATAGCAAAAATTCAATTGTATCCCCGATCTCACCAATCCACCGTGGATTGTTTTAAATTAACCACGCGCGCCAATCTGAACGAGGTTGGGCCACTTTGCAAGGTAATTAGAAACCGGGATCGATCCAACGCCGAGATTAAATTTATCAGAACGAACGGAGAGGTATTACGAATGCGAAAGGGACACGCCACCAACAATTGCTACTTCTAGGTTTTACTTTTGGGTCGTTGTTGAATTATGGAGCACTTTAATGTGCCTTGGGATTAATCAACATTTGTCAGCGCGGTTGTTTTTTATGCAATTTGTACTACGTTGCAGGAAGGATATTGATATTCGACATTTTGTTATGTGATTTTATCGAAAATCGATAACGATATGTCGGGGTATTAATTATTCGTGTAATTTATCTTGGAAAGCGTTCTCAATCGCGAGATTTAATATTTCATGTTGATTAACGTTTTGAGGTTAGCTTCAGATTTTGCCTTTTAGATTTATGCATTTATTTCAGGATAAATTCTATATGTCGTTAATTGTAGACTAGTATGTTTTGATAACTATAATTTTGAATTTGAAGATTTTTAATAACTGTAATGATTGTGAGCAATTTTGTTAATAATGTATAAGGTTACTGCTAATGTAGATCAAAATATCACACTCAGGTGAGCTGTTCAAGAATTTCTGTAACAAGTCAAATTAAATTTAATCAAATTTTACGGATTTTTAAATTTAATCAAGTTTCAAAGACTAGTGACGTGTACTATTATGTAAAATTTTTATTTTGAAACAATACAAAACAAAATATATAAAATGACCTGTATGTGACTGTTATGATTAAAATGTACAGGCTAACTCAAAAGATAAATCAACTGTTCAATAATTGCAATAACAAGGTATAATTAAATTTAATCAAATTGCATAAACTAGACAAGTGTCCTATTATGTAAAATATTTTTTTGAAACAATATAAAAAAGAAAAATATAGTGAATGAACTACAGGGTGCGTCACAATTAGGTAGGTCCCTGAAATGGGGGGTAGCTGACGTGATTCTGAATAAGATTTCCCTTTGCGAAATGAGGTATGAAGCTTCGTTTTTGAATTATTAAGGAAAAACACGGACCAATCAGAGCGCGAGGATTACGCATGCGTAGACGCGAGAGCGCAGCTTCGAGTCTAGCATCTGCGCATGCGTAATCCTCGCGCACTGATTCCCTACACCCCTATTTCCACGCGTTATATCCCCTACACCCCGTATTTCCACGCGTTGAATCTCCACGCGGCATAATTCCACGCGTTGGATTCCCTACGCCCCTATTTCCACGCGTCATATCCCAACGCCCCGTATTTCCACGCGTTGAATCTCTACGCGGTGTAATTCCACGCGTTATATTCCCTACGTTTCTATTTCCACGCGTCATATTCCCAACGCCCCGTATTTCCACGCGTTCAATCTCCACGCGGCGTAATTCCACGCGTTATATTCCCTACGTTCCTATTTCTACGCGTCATATCCTCTACGCCCCGTATTTCCACGCGTTGAATCTCCACGCGGCGTAATTCCACGCGTTATATTCCCTACGCCCCTGTTTCCACGCGTTATATTCCCTACGCTCCTATTTCCACGCATTGAATCTCCACGCGGTGTAATTCCACGCGTTATATTCCCTACGTTCCTATTTCCACGCGTCATATTCCCAACGCCCCGTATTTTCACGCGTTGAATCTCCACGCGGCATAATTCCACGCGTTATATTCCCTACGTCCCTATTTCTACGCGTCATATCCCAACGCGCCGTATTTCCACGCGTTGAATCTCCACGCGGCGTAATTCCACGCGTTATATTCCCTACGCCCCTACTTCCACGCGTCGTAATTCCACGCATTATATTCTCTACTCCCCCCATTTCTACGCGGCCGTGTTTTTCCTTAATAATTCAAAAACGGAGCTTCAAACCCCATTTTCGCAAAGGGAAATCTTATTCAGAATCATTTCAACTACCTCCCATTTCAAGGACCTATACTAGTTATGAGGTACCCTATATGTAAGTATATTATACTCAAAACATACTGACACACAAAAGACGAATGACCTATAAAAAAAATTGCACAGCCAAAGAAGACAAACTAAATTTCGTAAATTAATAAAGTACGTAAAGTATTACTTTTGAAACAAAATAAAAAATAAAAATATAGCGAATGAACTAGGACACCGAGTTAACGAAGTAAAAATCTGGCGGCAGTAAAGTTCGCGATATTAGGTCAAAGTATTTATGTCATCCCGACAATTTCACCGAAAAGTCCGCTTCGGTAGCTAATTTCGTCCATAATTAACTGCGCACGGGGAACATTAACATACGGTCGTCGAATAAAGTTTCGCCTAAACACGCTGAAAGAACGTCGACCTACATCCCGCGAAAGTTCGGGCTTGTTTTAATAATTTCGCGATCGCCGTATGCAACGAGCGTTATAGATGTACATCTAGATAAGTGGTTAGGTATTTCTAGATAACACGAAGAAGTGGCATAACCGCGTGTAGCATGCTGTTACCTATTTTTCCTTGTACCGCGCATAGCCACGAGAGTAGCATCAGATAGTCACGGATCATGTTTCCGGAATTGGACCTGCAATCAGAGGGAACGATTGTTAAAACGATTGCTGTAAACGATTGTTACAAACGATTGTTGGAAATGGTTCTTAAGGCTCATATAAATGATCGTTTAAAATGGTTGCTATAAATGATTGTTAAAAACGATTTTTACAAACGTATATTATAAATGATTATTACAAACGACTGTTACAAATGTTTATTGAAAAAAGCATTGTTAAAAATGATTGCTACAAACGATTGTTACGAATGATTATTACAAACGATTGTTACTAATGATTGTTACAAACGATTGTAACAAATGATTATTATAAACAATTATTACAAAGGATTTTTGCAAATGTTTGTTATAAACGATTATTACGAATGATTGTAACAAATGATTACTATAAACATTACAAAGAATTTTTGCAAATGTTTGATATAAACAATTATTACAAATGATTGTTATAAATGATTACAATAAACGATTGTTACAAATTGATTATTACCAACGATTATTGCAAATGATTGCTACAGACAATTATTACAAATGATTGTTATAAATAATTACTATAAACGATTGGTATAAATTAATTATTATCAACGATTGTTACAAATGATTAATACAAACGATTGTTACAAATGACTGTTGCAAATGATTAAAAAAACAGCTAATATAAATAGTAATTATTAAAGACGATTGTTAAAAACGTTTGCAGTAAAATGATTGATACAAGTGATTTTTAAAAATGATTTAAATGGTATTAACTTAACAAAATTACTGGAATGAACGTTTTTCACGTGACTCTTCTGCTAGAAATTACAGTGAAAAATCCATTAAAAATCCGGAAGGTGGTTATCCTTCAAGCTGTCACGTAACGAAACAACAATTTTTCATTTTTACTTGATTGTTCCGACAAGTTACGTGTATGCACTAGGTGGCTTCAGAAAGAGTTCACTATGTATTTTCAGTTATTATTCTTAATTAATTATTTATCGATTTCTCAACTGTGTGGTTGCTTAATTTTGTAAATATGTGCCGTCAGAAAATTTGAATTGTTGTGAGATTCAATGTTAATAATTTTGTACAATTTTATTGTGACAATATATCACTTAAATTGCAATTAAAAATTGTTACGTAGTTGAACTGATTGTAGTCGATATGATAAAAAATTAATACACTAATAGAAATAATAGTTTGATGAAAAATTTTAACAACCCCATAAAATTAAATTCTTAAGCTGAAACTATCACAGAATTTTTTCTAAACAGTATACTAAATATTCACAATGAACTTTTTTAAACATATACTAAATACACAAATACAAATAATAAATGATAAAAAGTTCTAACAACCCCTTAGAATTAGATTCTCGAGCCCAAACTATGACAGAATTATTGTTAAACAGTATAATAAATATATCAATAGAAACAAAATATGATAAAAAATTGTGACAACCTTTTAAAATTAAATTCTTGAGCCCAACCTATGACAGAATTTTTTTTAAACAGTATACCAAATATTTCGAGGGTGAAAATAAAAAACAATTTTTGCTGAGCCACCTTAATATGCACCGTATAGCAAGATTTATGGTAAACGAAGGGTGAGTGAAAGTTCAGCGTTCATAGCTGCCACGTGTGCCCGATACAAGAGAAAATTTCAGCAAAATTGCGTATTTATCGTTGACACGTTTGCGCTAATGCACGTATTTCCTCTCTGGACGGTCGACCCGATAATTTCTTTTACCGGAAGCACTCTGGCAACGAAAATGCAATCAGGCCAGGCCAACATCCGTCCCGTGGCAACTATTTTTCAACGGGTAACTGTATAACATTCGATATTCAATTGATTTAATAGCCACCTCGTAAATCGCTCCTAACCGCGTCGTTGCCACGCCACGCGAGCTTTTTGTGATTCGGGTAAAACAATGCTCGCGCGTCGCTAATGAGCATCCTGGAAACCGTGCTTGATTTCCCTCGGGAAAAAATAAAAAATTGAGGATTTTTCGCGGGGATGGATTTGGGGGTTTGGGGATTTGAGAGATTTGGGAAATTTAGGAAATTTGGGATTCAGGAGATTTGGGATTTGGGGCGTGTGGGATTTGGGACGTGTGGGATGTGGGATATGTGGGATTTGGGATATGTGGGGTTTGGAATATGTGGGATTTGGGACGCGTGGGATTTGGAATATGTGGGATTTGGGGCGCGTGGGATTTGGGACAGTGGAATTTGGGACGCGTGGGATTTGGGACGCGTGGGATTTGGGACGCGTGGGATTTGGGACGCGTGGGATTTGGGACGCGTGGGATTTGGGACGCGTGGGATTTGGGACGCGTGGGATTTGGGACGCGTGGGATTTGGGACGCGTGGGATTTGGGACGCGTGGGATTTGGGACGCGTGGGATTTGGGATATGTGGGATTTGGGGCGCGTGGGATTTGGGACACGTGGGATTTGGGGCGCGTGGGATTTGGGACGTGTGGGATTTGGGATATGTGGGATTTGGGGCGCGTGGGATTTGGGACATGTGGGATTTGGGACGCGTGG